GCACGACAAGCTGTGCAAGTCACATTGACAGTCACTGATGCACGACAAGCTGTGCAAGTCACATTGACAGTCACTGATGCACGACAAGCTGTGCAAGTCACATTGACAGTCACTGAGGCACGACAAGCTGTGCAAGTCACATTGACAGTCACTGATGCACGACAAGCTGTGCAAGTCACATTGACAGTCACTGAGGCACGACAAGCTGTGCAAGTCACATTGACAGTCACTGAGGCACGGCAAGCTGTGCAAGTCACATTGACAGTCACTGAGGCACGGCAAGCTGTGCAAGTCACATTGACAGTCACTGAGGCACGGCAAGCTGAGCAAGTCACATTGACAGTCACTGAGGCACGGCAAGCTGAGCAAGTCACATTGACAGTCACTGAGGCACGGCAAGCTGTGTAAGTCGCCTTTACATTGCCATGATGCTTTTCGGTCGTGTATCTGAGAAAGCTGTACCCAAAATGGTACTGAAGATGTTGCACGGTTGGCGACTTTTAACCTTTTTAAAATTAAAACAGTGATCTTTTTCGCTCAAAATTATTTTTTTTCAAAAACCTTTTTGAGTCATATCTTAAAATATTAAAAATACGTTTGAATCATAACACAATTCTTTTTAATACTAAGAACACATACTTGATAAGTTTATATTAATAAGAGCTCTGTTTCCTGGGATTATAATGTCTCCACCTTCTTCTTTAAGCGGCATTTCAAGTAAAGGGTTGGTAAACTCGACTATCTCTGGTTGCTAGAGTAACAAAAACATGATGTTGTTAATATTCCATGATGATACGAYGACGACGATGACGGTGGTGGTGGTGGTGATTAGAATGTGTCAGAATTCACCTCCTGTTCCTGCTGCTGGACACCTTTCTTATCACCTTTCGTAGCGGCAGATTTCTTTCCTTTAGCTGGTACCTTAACTGACTCTATTGACGTCGCTGTTCACGAAAAGAAAACGCAATTCTAAAACTATGAATAGAAAAAAGAACTAAAAGGATAAAACATCCAAGAAMAAAAGAGACAATGAGAGTTGAAAAGACAATAAACGAACATAGAAATAGAAAAAATAGCACAGAATATCTAAAAGCAACATCATTCWTACTCTTTTTAGCCTTATCGTCTTGCTTCTTTCCCTCCTGTACATGCAAAAAATAAGTCATTAAATCATGTTTTCCTATGAGAATCTCAATAATTCTGCTACTTATTTATATGATTACTWTAATTCTATGCTTTTATGGTGAATCCAAGCGGACTTTTTGATGGAGTAAATTTCACATTTTGTTCAACATCTACATGTCAGTTTTGAATTGAAATGTATTCCAAGAACTAAAGTCCAGTAATGACTCATGTACCTTTTTCTTAGGTCTGTCCTTTTCCCCTCTACTTTTCCGTTCTTCTTTACTTAGATGACCACTAGAATTGAAACAATCACCAACTATGACTACAGTTACAGTATGGTAAGATAGGGAGGAAGGGAGGGTAGGGTAAGGTAGGTAGGTAGGGTTAGATAGGCAGGGTATTGGTAAGGTAGGTAGGTAGGGTGAGATAGGCAGGGTATTGGTAAGGTAGGTAGGTAGGGT